ACAATCTGTGTCAAGGTATTGCTGGAGAGAGCTAACTGAACTGTGACGTGAAATCTCAGAAAGTATCTTAGGGTTGAATGATGGAGATTTAAAAACAAAGCATTACTGAGAACTTTGGCAATTTCACATGGATGTAATTTAGTACTAAAATGAGTCTAAGAAAATGAAATAAAAGGATATGTAGTTCTAACTGTAAACCACCTGGCAAAGGGATGCCTTATTAAGTGGGGAAAAGACTACAGTACAGACAACTGGGCACATACCACCAAATTATTCATGGGAAGCATCTGTGGTCAAGCACTGGCTCCAATCTCAGGTCCCACAGCTGGCCTAAAGCCTAAGGAATGCAACATTCTTCTGGGGATATGCTTTACTTTAAAATAAGAGTAAAATTCTGAAGCCATCAAAAAGCATTACATTCAAATCCTGGTGACCAATACAGGAAAAGCCTGAAGTTCTATGAAATGCTCAGAAGCAGTGGGCATCTTAAATCTCAAATTGGATCTTGAGAGGAAGGAAAAGCTCCCAGCAAGGTCAGCATTCCCCATGGCTTACAAGATCCCTTTATGAACTGTCCATACTGCTAGAAGCTGATATGTATCAGTAGGCCCAATGGCTAATGCCTCTAATGCTTTGATATAAAATGGCCATCAGGAGCTCCTATCTTGTCCACGAGAATCATTAGCACCAAAAACACAAATCAAATATAAACTGAGAAAGAGCTGTGCCTCATGCTGTCTTGTCAGGACATCATTTCCAGATATTCTGACCAGTAGCTGGCTCATATACCACAGTGACAACCTGAGCAGGATTAGCCATCTACAAGCAGCATGGTGGTAAATAATGGAGCTATAGGGCATATCAAACCTATTTCCAATAACTGGTTTTTGACCCTGAGAGCAACGTATTCTCCTTTTCTCCCTTTGAAAATAACAAAGGGTTCCAGGAAAGACCCAATAGGAAGGCTAGTTATTCTTCTTTCTCTCCACTCCTTCTGAATTCTAGCACTGCCAACACCAGGAGAGTAAAAGGCTCTATCAAGTACAACTCCCAGTTCTGAAGCAGCTCATGTACCACAATAATGAAGAGGAGTAAACCAGGGAGAGTAGAGAACCCAGGCAGGTCAAAAGGTGTTCTCTGTATTTTTGTTTGGTTTTTTTGATTGCTTGCTTTGTTTTTTAATATTGCCTCAGAAGACCTACCACTGACAAAATTTCTGCTCTCTTACAACAGCATACTGAATGAAAACTGGCTGACAATCCAAAATGAACACCAGATCAAGAAGAGAAAAAGAGGGGAGAGAAAGAGAATGCAGGAGAAGGAAGAGGAGGGGAGGAGAGGGAAAGGAGGGAAAAAAGGGAGAGGGAAAAAAGAGAAGGGAAGGGGAGGAGAGGGGAGAGAGAAGAGAGAGTTTGAACAGAGTATATAATATCAATTCTAAAAGCCGTGTGTTATTAATCCCTGTGTCAGGTGTGGGATATTTCCATAGGAGTTATTGGCCAGAAAGTCCCATGGGCTCCCAAAGTAACACAGGCTATCGCCATTTCTCTTGGTTGATTATCAGAACTGGACAGTAAGAGCCTGCTGATGAAGACACATGCATCTAGGTTGCAAAACCATGCTGCAATTGTACTAGAAGCTTCCTTCCTGCTGGTTAGCCTTCATAGTCCCAGCAGTTCCTATGCTAGCACTAAAAGGAGCAAAATCAATAATGTCTTTCTTCACTTTGAATATAGTATGCTGTAATGCCAACTTTCCCAACAAACTGTGCCTACTGGTGTAATACTGGCACAACTGTTATGGGGATAACCAACTGACTTCTGATTGGATCAGTGTCCTTCTTGACAGGAAGCAATCCATACCCAGTACTGTGGAGCTGGTCAAAGGCTCATATTTGGGGAGACTACAGGCACTAGAGATGAAACTACTATTTGTGTTTACTAAATGGACATGTCCAGATACTTTCTAAATGCTTATGTTTATACCCTACACTAGTGAGGATCTCAGCCTTAATCAATGAAGTTGTATTTGCAATGAACAGCAGTTAATGTAGAGATTTGTGGCCACAAGATGGTTAAAAAGATTTGTAGTTCAAGATTTCTATAAACAAGTGACTATAGAATGCTCAGCCTTAAATTGGACACCCAAATCAGTTCTCAAGGCACAGAAGGGGCAGAAAGAATGTAGTCAGTGGGAAGTGGATGATAAAACTCTACCTTAAGAAGAGTTATGTCAAGGCTATGGCAGTCCTGAATTCACAAAAGCTATGGTGGCCTGCACAGAGTCTCCACAACATGGCCCAGCAACATTCAGTCACATAGAGAGGTGGGCTTCATGGACTCATGCATGCCCAGGAGAGTTAATAGTGGTGAGTGAGAGATGTTATTATCTCTGTGATACGTGGTAAGTATGAGCTATTCATACTTCTATGAATAGTTCTACGACCCATTTCCATACAGGCAGCCATGGTTAAACTAAAAAAGACATGAAAGTAAGATGGGAATTTGAAGGGAGACGGGAAAATGGAGTTGAAGAGGGATAAAAAAGAGCTGAGGGGCAAAAACTGCCAACAAATAGATTAATAATATTAAAGAGAGAAGGGAGAAAAAACAAGGGAAGGAAAGGACACAGAAGGACTAAATACAACAGATTTCCTGAGAGAAAGACTAAGCTTGAAGCAGGCAGAGTTTTAGCCTTTCTACCTTCCAAACCGTAACTCACTCAAAGCATGAACAGTAAGTACGAAGTAAAATATGATATACCCCCTGCCATGTAACTCTAACATCAGTGAGCACGAAAAGACCTTAAGTTCGGTGAGTGGCAGAGGAAGAACACTGCGGATGCTGGTGTGTGAAACCAGCCTAGTAAAGATGTTGACCAAAGAGCTGCAGGAGCCAACATGTAAAATGCAGAAACACAGCCCTGCACTTCCTTTCTCAGAATTTACTTTTCAGAGTAAAATTAGTCACTCTGCTTAAAAATGCCTCAGCTGTGCAAAACACTGGTTTCATTGCAAAAATTTCCAGACAACAAATATCAACTTCTTAAATATCGCTATTTCTAAGAATGAGGGAGGGGCTGGAGGGGAGTTCCTTTGTCACATTTCTGAAAACCTTATACAAAAAGAATGAACTGCTGAGAAAATTAAGACCTACAGAAACAGTAGAAGCCATACAAACATTTTAGAGTCATAAAAATGAACAACTAAAACATTATGCTAAATAAAACAGCGTCAATAACATTTTCCCCTTAAATTCAAGTGTAGGCTGTTGCTAGTTTCTGCTCCTGACCCCTGTGTTGAAGAACCCTTTTGGAATCCTTTTTCTACATGACTGCACACTGTACTAACAGCGCCAGTAACAGCTGGATGCAATATGTGTGCCTTGCTTGCGGACAACATGCTCTGATAACTTTATCTGTCAGCCAGCTGAGCTGTCATACTAAGTGAAAAACCCAAACACTAACCCTGATATTCTGTACAGTAAGTTCACATTAAATGAAAGAGACGACCCAAATGTGCAGAACTCTCGCTCAAAAGGTCCAGTGTTTTAAGAGAAGGATCTCGGGTTTCCAAAATAGATCTGCCTAAAGGCTACATACAGCCTTACCTGTCATCTGAGCTTCCAGCCCATGGGCCTCACCTCTGTGTTTGTTACTTTCCTATTGCTGTGATAAAACACCATAACCAAGGCAACTTGCAGAGGGAAGGGTTTAGGGGGGCTTTCAGTTCCAGAGGGAAAACAGTCCATCATGGCAGGAATCTTGGCAGCAGGTAGTAGACATGGTAGCCAGAAGCAAGCAGGACACAAAGAAGAGTGAACTGGAAATGGTGCATGCACTGTAAGTGAGACACTTGTTCCAGCAAGGCCACAATTCCTAAGCTACCCAAACAGTGGCAACAACTGGGAACCAAACATTCAAACATCAGATCCTATGGGGGTCTCATTCAAACCCCCACACCTATACATGTCAGATCTACGACTACATGATGTAAACCTTGAAATAAATCCCTTTTTGTATGTTCCAAGCCAGCCTTAGATACATGAGATCCTGTCTCGAAAGTAAAAAAGAGATACAATACAAAATAAAATACTATACAAGATATAATACAAAACAAAATAACATTTTCTGACTTTCACAGGCTTCGGTTCTTGCCTACCTGATAGAACTATTGCTGCTAAGGTCTTCAAATTCCCCTTTCAACTGTCTCCAAGCCTCTGGTTCCCCAGTTCCGATTCTCAAGTCCCTCTTCTAACAACTAGAGACCACAAAGGTATTAAAACTCGGATGTGAAATCTGCATGATAAAGAAGACACACACTCGCATATGCAAATCTCACAGAAGAGAAACTTCATATGGTAAAGACAATTTACCCATACTAGTTCCTAGTACGTACATCCTAAAGATAAGTATAGCTTGCTTTGGAAGTTTGGGTTGAACAACTAGTATAAAGCTACTTCTATACAATTAGAGCTTCACTAAGGAAATAAGTTAAAAGTTAAGCACAATTTCCTTTACAAATATCCAATCCTAAGCTCAACTGCATGTTTACTTTGATATCTAAATATCCTTAAACACAGAAAATAACATTTCTAGTGACACTATTTAAATGACAGCGTTCTAAAACAATTGTCTAGCAGACTATTTCAGCAGGCTGATATTTTTAATGCTAACCTTCAAAATGAAGACATCACAGGCCTGGAAAGATGGTTCCAAAACTAAAAGGCTATGTTGCTCCACCACGGGGCAGGCTATCTATAATTACTGTAACTCCAGCTCCAGGGATTTAACACCGTCTTCTAGACTCCACAGCCACCTACAGTTACATGTACACACACCCCACATATACAGACATGTATTCATAATTTAAAAAAAATGTTTAAAAACAATAAGATAGTTCAGTGCCTAAAACTCAATTGGGACCAATACTTACTCCACGGCCAGACAACTTCAGTACTGTACCACAAGGAGCACGGTCCTAACGTTTAACAGAGCCTTACCTCCCACATCAACCGGTAGTCCATGTTTTCATCCAAGTCTTCAGGCATTCGCTTCTCTCCAGCAAAGGGGCCAAATTTTTCACCCTGTATAGCAATGATTACATTTAAAAAGAATCAATATGATAACCAGCTACAAAAATAAACCAGTTTATCTTTTGGAATCTTTTTCATCTACATCTTCAGTTTAAAATATTAACTATTTAATATGAGCTAATATTAATATTAATACAAAATGTTTCCATATTTTTTAAATCTAGCCTAATCTGTTTTAGTCTACAAGCTTCAATCCACAACACAGAATCCAACATAAAAGGATTTAACTGCTCCACTCTCAAATTCTGACAAGCTCTGAGGACTGTGCTCTCTGCTTCTTCTTCCTCACAGCCTCTGGCAGGAGGTTAAAAAGAAAAGCACAAAGCTTCGCCTGATTGAGAGACAAGCCCACCACCCAAAACATCACCTGGTTTCCATAAAGCTCATAAGTTCATCTCTATTTTGAACAAGAAAGAAGTATGCTTACAGTTCTCAGAGGAAGGCTGTTCATAAATAAGATTTAAAATTTCCTGCCAACCTTCCCAGCAGCCTGGTGGTCATTCTTTATCTACGGGAGTCTCAAAGTGCAATCTTTTGAGAATCAATGGGGCTGTCGCGATTCTACAAATCCTACAAATCTGGAAATGGAGTGTAGGGACAGAATTCTAACAAGTACCCTGCTAAGACCCACAGGCAAAGGCCCTGTAAGCCACGAGGAAAAGGTCATGTAGATAAACATGTATTCCTGATCTGTCCACTGTGAGGCATAGAGCCTGAGTATATCCGCTGTGAGGTGTAGACTGTGGGTGTCTCAGCTGTGAGGTGAAGACTTTGAGTATAGCAGCTGTGAGGCAGAGACTGGGTGTATCCTCTGTGAGGTGAAGACTCTGAGCATGCCACTCTGAGGTGTAGATTCTGAGTGTGCCAACTGTGAGGTATAGACTCTGGTGTATCAGCTGTGAGATGTAGATTCTGGGTGTATCAGCTGTGAGGTTTAGACTCTGTATCAGCTGTGAGGTTTAGACTCTGAGTGTGTCAACTGTTAGGTAAAGACTGGGGTGGGTCAGCTGTGAGGCATGGGCTCTAAATGTGTGGGGACTTAGACCATATTTAACTGCAAGGGACACTTCTATTTGTTCATTTGTGTGTATGTATTTGAGATGTGGCCTTATGTATTCCAGGCTGGCCTCCAACTCAAAGTATATTTTTAGACATGTTTCTCTCTCTCTGTGTGTGTGTGTGTGTGTGTGTGTGTGTGTGTGTGTGTGTGTATGTGTGTGTGTTGAGGTGTGGTCTTGTGGTCTCATCCCAGGCTGGCCTCCAACTCCATGATTGTTTTTGTTCATGGTTGTCCATGGGTTTTGAGCCATGGTCCTGTGTACCCCAGGCTAGCCTCCAACCTGACCTGTAGCTGACATGACACTGAGCTGCTGAGGTTCTCACGCTCTTGCACTAGATGCTACTGTGTTGGTTACACATGTGGGCCCCCAAATCCAGTTGTAGACAGTGCAGGGGCATGAACCCAGGGTGTTACCCATGGTACACCTCTTCCCGGACGCTGTTTTGAGCCGAGCCTGAGAGTACAGCATTAGTGCATCCCATTTTTCAGAAATTCTGTGCATCAATATACAGAAAGCAGACCGCCACTTGTGCTGTGTTGTGCTTACTTCCAACCAGCCTGGAAAGATTTTCCCAGAACCTTCCCTTCGTGTGGGAGTAGAGCTATGTAAGAGGATCAAACCTACGGGGGGATTATTCATGAATTTTGCTAACGGGGAGACAACTACAACTTGATGTCTAAAGGAAATTAAATAATTTAGAAAGTATTTAATAAGCACTAAAAACTGCGGGGGATAAAAAAACTTAATATAGCTTTAAAAAATGATAAACTCAGACCCTCAACTTACACATGAAGAAGAGAAAGCCTGGGGAGCCACAAATGGCAGCAGAGCCAGGACTGTTCCTTAAATCATTTTTTAAAATCTCATTCATTTATTTACTTATTTACTTTCCACATGCATGTGCACACCACACCACAAGACGCAAGTGGAGGCCAGAGGACTACTTTCCTTCCACCGTGTGGGTCCCAAGGATTGAACTCAGATCCTCAGAGTTGGCACCGAGCCCCAGCACAAGACCGTTTCTTTAATGCTAACCTTAGGATGAAAACATTACAGAGTTTTCAAATCGAAGGTATGCTAAGCAAGCTAAACAAGACTAAGGAGGCTGAGGAAGGCTGCTGACTGAGCAATGCCAACGCCCCAGTCTGATCCTTCGAGAAGACATGTCCTTGGAGGCATAGAAGGCTGTGCATTCCTTCTGCTCCGCTTCGCGCTCAAACGAGGAGGGGCTCCAATCTGTGCATCCTTCAGACAGACACACTGCTCTAGTGATGTTCTCCTCAAAAATCAACCGTTCCCCCAGCCAAGAGTGGTGGTCCATGACTGTCATCTCAGCCATGGCTCCCAAGAGGCAGAGGAAGGAGGAACACCCCAAGTTCAAGTCCAGCCTGGTTTACACATTGAGGTACAAACCAACCAGACTTCATAGTGAGATTGTATCTCAAGATAAGACCAGTATCGGATGACAGGCAAACAAAAGCTGCAGAAGAAACGAGACAGTGGCAGGGGATTAACATTATCAGAGCCATGACAAGGACTTCAGAGCCCTTAGTGGAAACTCCCCTCTGGACCAAGTATGAGAAGTGATTCCTGTAGGTTAAGTAGCCTGGTTACACTCTGTCTGCTAAGAAAAACTAGAGGCATCTGTAGAGAGCCAGCACTGACTCAGACTCATCATGACTCAGAGGACAGCAGGTCTGCAAGACCTTGCCTTCCTCAAAGCAGACAACTCAGTACTCAAGACTGTTAAGTTGAAGAAAAAAAGGTGAAGGCCAATCTGAAAACAGATGGAAAAATAAGGTGCTTTTGTAACAAATTTTAGGATTTGTCATTAATGGATATGTTCAACTTTCACGCCACACTATCATGCATTTCACCCTTATCAGATTTTGCAAAAAATGATGTGAACTCAGGTCTCCAAGAAAATAAAAGCCAAACCTTTATTAATGACTTTGCAAGGCTAAAGGACTGATTAGAACTTCCTGATTGAGGAGTGCTGCAGTGTCATAATCCCAAAGCAGAATTATCTCGCACTGTCTTTAGCTCCCTAACAAGGCACACCTTGCCCTCCTCAGTGTCTGACCTAGCATCCTCATGACCATCAGGTGAAACTGTTGGACTACATAACGCGGCAGACAACTAGCTTCCCCTGACCCAGAACACAAATGTCTGGATAGCTCTGAGTTTATAGCAAAGAGTTCCCCACTTTGCTGTAATTGACCCACAAAATGTCCCCACCAATGAATTTGAAAAACTCTGCTTATGCCTTTATTCTGTTCTATAGCTACAAACTCATCATCAAACCCTTTCTGCAATGAAATGCACATGTGATCTGGGCAACCTGAGCCTGCTCCTAAAAACTCTCAGTGTGCACTCATGTCACAGATCCACACATGCCAAACAACCACTTCCTCTAGACATGCACTCTCAGTGGTATGGGTCCACTCCCACCAATGAGAATATATTCTCAATGCCATAGTTCCACCCTCTCCAATCAATCAATTCATCTCCAATCATCTCCTCTCAGCACCACGAGTCCACACACCCCAATCAAACAATAATTTCCTCTTCTTAGTATAGATGAAAAGGAATCAAGAAATTTGTGATTTAATTACGGGCAAAGGACTGAAGAAGGGATGAGAACCCAAATAAATACACTAGGATGGAGGAAAAACAAAACCTCGGGATGCAGGCTGCTAAGATTCTATGGACTCCGCCCAAAAGGCGCAAGTTGGCCAAAGCAGAAAAACTTGACCAGAGCAGCACAAGCAGGTCTCATGAGCATTTCTCTCAGCAAAGGACGGAACTATTGCCAAGCCGAGTAATGCAGAAGCGTAGAGATGCAGAAAGAGTTGTCTCACTGTCTGTGGGCTTCTCTCTAACCCCTCTCAAAGTACACAGAAAGATGTTTTACAGCTCACAAAACTACGCACCTTGCACAAGGTAGCTTTCAGCTGACCAACATCACAAGCCCTCTCATGGGAGCTGTTTTCTGCAAGGGAAAAACACATCCCAACATTGGAACCAAACAAAAAACATATTCTAACATGACACAACTGAATTTCCAAAGAAACCAGAAACTTCCACTTCAAAGACATCATGTGGGACTACCTCAGGCTTTATTGAGCCCAACTACAGAATATATCCAATGCTTTTGTTCCTTCCATCTCTCTGCACCTGGAATGGAGGCATGCCTACTACTCACAGTTGCTACAGCAGGCATCAGGGGGAACAAATGCAATGATGTCCGTCACTCCTTACTCTGCAGTGTGAATGCGTCACATAAACTACATGTGAAAGAAGCAGTCCAGAGTTGTGAAGAAGAGAAAGAGATATACACAGGCATAAACGTAGAGATATTATACCAGAAAGCAGCATATTTCCTCTCCACCCTACTTCCTTAGATACTTGATTTTCCCAGCAAAACTGCCACTAGAATCTTTGATTTACTGCCTGGAAGTGAGGCCTGAAGTCGGAAAGAGCCAGCATGAGGCCAATGAGCAGGAAGAGAGATAGTAGAAAGTCACTGAAAACTAGAGTTATGAAAAGAACTTCAAAGCCTGACATGGGGAAGGCCTCTGCCCTTGATGTGCAGAACTGTGCACGGACACCAGAGAGTTGATTGATGGCACTTAGCAGCCTACTGTCACCTGCAGGGTTGACCTGACCACAAAAGTGGCCTAAACAAACAGCTTCCCCCCCTACCAGAGAGCATGAGATCAAAGTGAATAAGGAAGCCAACTCAGGGGGTTAAGAAAAGAAACTCCTTTGGCAGACAAAATCCTCAAAGGCTGGAGATAAAACTAGTGATATAAGGCCTACTTCAGATGCATGAAGTCCTTCCCCCAGCACATTGCTGCAAAGAAAACTAACTATAATAAAAAGAGAATTCATGAATTTCCTAATGGAACTTAGAGACATCAAAATACA